GATACAAAAGTTTCTATTTTTGGACAGGTGAAAAAGTCAACTGCAAATTGACTAGGGCATAACTTCCACATGGTTTATCAGAAAAATTCCATCCAAAGCTCATTTTGAATAGAATGACATTTCCTACAACTCATCTTCACACTTAAAGTCCAAGAAATGCTCTCACAAAAAGTTATCAAGCTCAACATTATAGGTCATTTTCAAAAGTCAACAAAAAGGCACTTTAAGTCAAAGACCATAACTTGAGATTGGTAAATCAAAATGACATGGGACCAAAGGAATTGGTTAGAGGACTTCAAGGCCTTTCCAAAATGTCCAAGAACATGATCAAAGCTTAAAAATTGAGCAAGATATGCCTTGTGGAAGTTGGGAAAGTTTTGGGAATTTTGAAAAGTCAACTTTGCTTCAAATGCCTCAAAATTGCTAATGGGCCTCAATTTCTTCCATGAATCATCACCCAAAGGCCATGCACGACCCATTGACCTAAAGGGGAGTTATTTTCTTATTTTTAATTAATTAATTGAATTTTTAATCCTATTTATTCATTTAATTAAAATCAATTATGAGAAAAATACTAAACCATATGCTTCAAATCTTTTTGTGCATAGAATTCACTCAATATTTCGTGCACCATTCAATAAGGAAAGATTCAATATGATTGGCAATGATTGGCATAAGAAAGGCATGAAAAAGATTGAAAAAAGATCATGAAAATCAAATATTCAAAATCATCAATGCAAAGGCTTTGGGCTTGGTTTTTCTAACCTAATTCATTCACACATATATGCACAATTGAACCCTAATGCAAAGCACACACAAGCTGCGCTGCAAGATCAAAAACACATTGCACTTTTTTTCACAAAATATCAAAAACTGTTTTCATACTTAGAAGGCAATTCAAGGCTTAAGAAGTATTCCAAAAGCTTGCTGACCCCTCCAGGAAACGATTCCAATCGAAACCAAGTCTCCACGCACAAGGAATTGGTAGAACAGATTCGCTTTTCTTTCAAAATTATTCATAATCGTATTTTGAATTCCATGCATGATTAATGTCTTTTAATGGTTGATTTACACTAACATGATCTCTCTGAAGCTATTGGTACCATCCAATTGAATTATAGGCGCATGTACAAGAATCCACCATGAAAGCTTTTTAGGGTTTCAGAGCTCCATATTTAGGGTTTTACGCATAAGGAAAAATTAGGCAACGAAACCTGTACCATTGGATTCAGGACATCCAGACGATTCGATTCCACACCTCACGCCCTTTTTCTTTTTAGCCATGCTCTAATCGCTATTATTGCAGGTTTGGTTTAGTGGGGGTTTAAAACCCCCGCTATTTGCTTTTATTTTACAGGGAAAGAGGAAGATGATGCATATGTGTCATAACATGATGGGACGATTCAAACATTCGCGTGTGTTTTTTTGTGTTTTACCAATAGCGTTTATTCTCTCTCATAATATTCACGTCCCACTATAATATCAAGATAACGCGTTGGATCAGCTGGTTGGTGTGTTGTCCTTCAGGTATTAGGACCTGGGTTCGATTCCCATGTCCCCCACTCTTTCCATAATTTTTCTTCTAACGTACTTCTATGCAGCATGCCATCAGAAGATCACCATACACTCTCACCTGCTTGCCTGCCAAGTGTCCCAGGGTCTCAATCTGATGGCCAGCACGGGAATTCCACCATACGCGCTAGTCAAAGGATCCACACGTAATTACAAAAAGTCAAATAAGGCCTGGAATTGAGTGGGCCAAACTGCTTGCAATGAACCTCCCAAATTGGGTCTGAATACCCTATGGTTTGCACTTTTTTTCATTTATTTTTATTTGATTTTTTTTCTTAAATTCTTTTAATTATTTTCTTTAATCTACCAAAATTAATTTTCATAATAATATAAAAAAAATCAGAAATCAAAAAAATAAAATATGTTTATTTAATTTTTAATTCATTAATAGTTTTTGTAAATAAATTTTAATAATCAATTTAGTTTAATTTAGGGTTTTAATTTTTATGTTTTCTTAAATAAACTAAAATACATAGAAATTAGGGTTTTTAACATTTTTATCTTTTTTAATTTCTTTCTATTATTATTATTATTAATTAGTAATTATTTTGTAAATAAACATGACATTAAATAATTAGGATAAATTAGTTTAAAACTTTAATCTTTTTTCTTTAATAATTAAAAAATATTTAGAATTAGGGCTTCTTTTAATTAATTCTCTTTATTTTCATTAAATACAAAAAGCATAAAAAACAATTTCTTTTCTCATTAAATAATTAATTAACTTTCAATTCCAATTTAATTTCTTTAAAGGGTCCAACGCCCTCGCACACTCGATTCCAATTTCTGTTCGCATGTGTATTCTTATATTTGTTTTAAATCTTATGTAATTTCCCCAAAGCCTTGTAATAGTAATTAGGACCTTTATTTTCCGCATTTTTATTCAAAATCGGGTCTTTGTTAATTTGGCGATGTATAGACCCGCGCCTTGTAATAGCGTAGGACTTTTATTTTCCGCATTTTAATTTCCGCACCTTTTAACTGCTAATCACATGAAAGAATGAATGGCCCAAATAAAATCAAAGCGTAGCTCGCCCAATGCATGATCAAGATAAAATATAACTGAAAATGATACACAAATTCACACACCACTCTTAGGGTACGCCTCACTGTTGCCTTGCCCCTCGAAACGTGGTCGTCGAGTATAGGATGTTTTAGTAAGTCCTTATATCCATGAACATGGCATAAGGGTAGCTTCTAAGGTGTCCTACTATTGCTCTGGTGACCACATTGTCCCTACAAACGAATTGACCTGAACACCTCTAACGGTGGTGCTACCTACCTCTCAATGGTGGGATGGCACTACCTCAAGGACATTTACACAGCCTCATTCCTTAGGGTAGGTAGATGACTCATAGATGCTTGCTCTAATTCAAAACAAATCAAAAACTTCTTTTCACACCGACACTTTTCAAAAAGCTTTCAAAAACAACTTTTCAAACACTCTTGAGGACTGATACAAGAGTCGATCTGAAACCTTAAACGAAACTTTTTCAAACCCACTCACGATTGAAAAGCAAACAAACATTTTTGAAAACACAAATGAGCAAGTATCTAAGAGCCCGTGGATAACCACGGATAGAAAGGGTGTTAACACCTTCCCTTTCTATAATCTACCTCCCGAACCGAGAGACAATCTCATAAGGAATTTTGCTGTGCTTTTGTCCTGTCCATGTTGGAGAAAATAAAAGACGGTGGCGACTCTTGCTTCCGCGACATTTCGCGAACCAGCGTTAAACAGTCAGTTTCAGATCCACCGATCACAAATACCGTGTAGGTTCATTCCATCAGTAGACAATGCCAAGCGAAGGTTTCTTGCTTCTTTTCCAAATTCAAGATAATCATTATCAATTTTCTTCCACTGTGGTGAATCTGCCGGATGTCGAAACTTTCCATCAACAATTCTTTCATTTGCATGCCAAGTTAAGTGTCTTGAATCAGTTTCACTATGATACATCCGTCTAAATCTCGGAATTATAGGAAAATACCATAAGACTTTTTCCGGAGACAACTTTTTCTTATATCGAGGGGCACCGCATTTAGGACACTCATTTAACGATGCATACTCGTTTCGAAACAAAACGCAATCTTTTGGACATGCATGTATCTTGTCATAGCTCATGCCAATAGAGTACAACATCTTTTTGGCCTCATACGTTCGATTGGGGAGAACATTATCCTCTGGTAGCATATCTTTCATAAGGGCTAATAACTCTGAAACTTTTATCCGACCATCCATTGCCCGCCTTTAAGTTGTACAACTTTAATACCGCATACAATCTTGTGAATTTTGTACAACCATTATACAACGGTTTCTCTGCATCGCTTACCAACCTCTCGAACATTTTGGGACAATCATTAAGATCTTCTTCAAGCGCTTCTGCAATCTCTTCAACTCGATCATAATCGTATGTATCTGTGCCATTGTCGTTTGAAGCATAGGTCCTATTATCCCCTGATTCATCATTCCTGTCACTTTTCTCACCATGCATATTCCAACATGTATAACTTCTATCAATTCCATACCGTATTAAATGCGATGCCAACTGAACCGCGTCAACCCGATTCCCATAACAGCAACACAAACAAGGACATGTCATTCGACTGGGGTCTTCGGCGTGCGCAAAAGCAAACTTAACGAATTCCGATACCCTGTTCTCGTACTCTTTCGATAATCGATTGGAATACATCCATGTCTTATCCATGCTTTACGGTTTCTGAGTCAATCTGAGCTAAATGATAAATTCGAAAACAAAACCAATACTCAAAACTTGCACTTGCTCTTGCAAAACCATATAACAAAACCAATACTCAAAATTTTTCACTAAATTCATTTTATTCTATCAACTACTTTAGTACACAAGTATAATACATTCCTACCAAGAAAAGAGACGAGTAGAACACATAAACAAGAAACCATCATTGCTCAAAATCAATCATAAAAAGCACACGAAAAAAACAATATATTAATAGAGTTAACAATATGGCTACCTTTATTAAATATTTTGTGACGCTCTCTATTATTTCTCTCTTAGCTTGTTTTACCAATGCACAACTTGTTAATGTAAGTCTATATAATTAATTAAGCTTTTTTTTTCTGGTTCACAATAATATCATAGTATTATTTCAATGCCTCTAAAGAAGTCATGTTCTCTGTACATGAAAGAACCAATAAAACACAACAAACCAAACACCCATGACATAATTAAACGTAAACAAAGACACTCTCCATTATTTCTCTCTTAGCATGTTACTCTCCATTATTTCTCTCTTAGCATGTTACTTCTATGCACAACTTCTTAATAACTTCTATGACAGTAGAAACCATGCTTGCTCAAAATCATTAACCAAACAAAAGCACACAAATACTTGCCTTAAGGAATTTTATAATCAACAACTTACAGAAATCAATATTGAACTTGTTTAAAATGAAGTTGTTACTATCATTATTATACTCTCTCTTTTACTTCTTACAGTCCTATTTTTGTTATTCTGCAAATATTAACTTTGATTACTTCATGTTGGCCGAAACATGGCCAAAATCCTTCTGCAAGCAAAATAAATGTATCGCAAGTGTACCATCAGAGTTTACTCTACATGGTTTATGGCCTAAGAACAACACCCCACCTCACACATATTATTGTACACTAGAGTTATTTTTGGTATGTATATCTCCTAGCTTTAATTTATTATTATTATTATCTTAAATATATTATTATAATTTCTTTTTATCTTAAAAATATGATGACTTATTTTTATTTATTTTACCAGCTCAACCCATTCAATAAGCTTAACACTGTTTGGCCGGATCTAAAGGGAAAAAACAAGGAATTTTGGAAGTACGAGTGGAAAAAGCATGGCACTTGCTCAGAAATGGTACAAGTTGATTACTTTAATCACGCAACAGTTCTCTATGAGAAAAATAATATCAAAGACATTCTAAAGATGCCTCTAACACCAGGTGGAGCGGCGGCTCTAATACCGGGTGGAATCGCGAACTCAGCTGATATTGAGATGCATATAAAGTCAGTCACTAAATTTAAACCACAACTTCATTGTGAAATGAATTCTGCAGATTTGATGGGAGTTAGATTGTGCTTTGATACTGATCTATCAAATCTCTCCTATATAGATTGTCCTTCTCTTTCGATCTGTCCAGCTCGTATAAGTTTACCATTATAAATACAAATATACTAATAATGAATAAATAATACTTATTGCTTTTGATTAGCAAATTATTATGATGAATTGTGTGTTTAAGCTATTTGCTTGGACAAACAATTATTATAATTTAGATGAATAAGGTTGAGGCGTGATTTTATTATAATGTATTACTTTCAAAGTTATGACTTGTAACAATGAATTGTGTGTTTAAGCTATTTATTTGGATAAATTATTATTATAATTAAGGTGTCACTTATTTATGATGTATTAGTCTCAAGATTATGACTTGTGCTTTTTCTCTTTCATAAAGTAGCAGTTTAATAATGTTCTTTAAGATAAAGATTACAATGATGCACATATTAGTTCTGTTTCGGATTTTAAATAAAATCATAGAATAGATTACAAAAATTTAAACACAAGAATCAAACACAAGATAATCTGTTTCAAAAAAGACAATGTTGTTTCAAAAAATTTAATTATGAATGTATTGTTGGTATGCAAATGGTAAATATCTTGGTGTCTAGACACTCTATGGTCTACTTACTTATTCATGTCCTTTGGTTTTTTATCTCTTATTTATAAGATCTTAACAAGATGATTCTTTTGAATTTCATGTGAAAACAACACCAAATAAAGAGGCCTGAATCGTAGAAACAGAGAGAGCAGCCCACTAGAAGAGCAGCAAATTCTATAGCACAGGGTTCCAAATTTTAGAGGGCCTCTAAAATTTCAAATGTTCAATTTATTTTACATTAATATTAATAAATATAAAAAAATATTATAAAAAAATCAATAAATAAAAAAATATTATGATAAAAACTTAATATATTGAAAAGATTAAATTGATCAAAGTCAAAATAATTATAATTGAATCTTTTTTATTAATATATAATTATAATTTGTATTTTTCATTTTTAATTATTATATCTATTTTTTAAATTAGAACGGGATTTTCAATTTAATTGGGCCGGCCTTGGTTACATGCGCCGACGAGTGAAGAGAGTGGAGCCGGCATGTGGAGGCGCAATAAAAGGCTTCTAACTACTCAATTTTTATAGACGATTTCAGGTCTCTAATTGGCCGTATTGAAGTGTTGAATATCCTTCTTTGATAAATATCTGATGGTGAAATTCAGACCTTCAAAAAGACCATCTTCTCAAAAAAAAAAAAGGCACACTATACTAATTGTAACAGGGATTTTCTATTGAGGAGATCAAAACTATGAATTTACTTCCGATGCAGAATTGAAAAGAAAATACTTAACAAACATTATATGGTCCACTATTCAATTTGACAAGTAATATACCATATTCAAACCAATTCTCATTTTACCCGCTCTTAAATATATTAATGACTTTTAAGAAACCAATTATACAACTGTGTTAATCTCCTCCAAACAAGATGACTGCTGATACAAAACAAGATAACTATATCATATTATATGTCTAAAATAAAAACCAAACCACTTTTAAAACAAACACATAATAGACTATCAATATAATATTGATAATGGTCTATTAATTTTTCATACACATAATAGACAATCATAATTTTAATATGAGGGATTGACAACTCTCTTTATCACATTGAAAGTAGAATTAACCTAATAAACACAATCTCTTATATGTTATCTCTTATATGAAAACAAGTGAGTTATCTAATGATTTATTTATCCAATTGAAACGAGACTTTCTTTATAAATTATTATTTTAGAATTTTTCGCTCGTTTAACACCATAAAGATACTTAATCATTTGGATGCATAAATCAAATGAGATTGGTTCTTTTCCATCTTTCTTTGCGAAGAATATATCACCATTCTTTCCCGCTCAAATAAGATACTTAATATCGTTGAACAAGGGTCCAACAACAAAGATTTTACTCCAAGATTCCTTCACATCCAATTTTCCTAAAATTGATATGTGAAAAGTATTTGTATACCACACAATCGAAACAATGGATTCGTTTAACAACACGAACGTATGATACATTCAATTATTGGAATCAGTGTCTAAGGGCATCAGTGTGAGTATGAGTGTGGTCAAACAAACTTCATTGGTCAACTCAAATGACACCAAGTATTGTTCATCGTATTCTCCATAAGAGATAGAGAGTCAATGACACATTCCATCCAAAACACAAAACACAAAAGCCAAGTTCGTCTTGTTGAAATGGATTTGGAAAGTCCAATTTAACTTTATTCTCAAACCTCTCGCCGGAAGGTGAATGCAAAGAGAAACGGGTGTATTTATGATTATGATTACAAACAATTTGATGCAGGAGGAGAGATGTATAATTGTAGTAAGAGTCAGCAATGAATATGAAATTATTGCAAAACTTTATCATAAAGTTAGGGTTTTCAAACAAAATAGACCATGTTTTGTTTACACATCCAAAGCGCTTGAAAGATTTTAAAGGAAGTTTTGATAGAGTGGAGAAAGCAAGATCATCAGGTATGTGATTTATTAACTTCTCATTTAGAGATATCGCCATATTCGTTGACAGAGCAAAATATACAGGGAGATAAAACGTTGTTTTTGTAAATGCGAAAACAATGACCGAAGTTGAATTTCTTATGTACGAAAACCAGACAAACACATACGAGGTGAGGAAAAAAATGAAACCTGATACGAATTGCAGTTGGCCGGAGAAGTGGAGCGTCGTTGACCGCCGTAGAAGCTCTGCTTTAGGGTTTTTTCGTGAAGAAAATCTGACTGAGAATAGAAAAGTGATACGAATTGTGTTTTGATATTTATTATAAAACTACCTACGAAAGCGCTTTTAAAAACGCTTTCTAAAGGTCATCTATAACAGCGTTTTTACATCAAAAAGCGCTTTCGTAGCATATCCTATAGCAGCGCTTTTAAAAGCGCTTTCTAAAGGCCAGCTTTAGCAGCGTTTTGGAAAAGCGCTTTCTAAGGCTGACCTTTAGCAGCGCTTTTGAAAAGTGCTTTCTTAAGGTACCCTCTGAAAGTCCATCTTTAGCAGCGCTTCCCAAAAATCGCTTTCTAAGGGTGACCTTTAGAAGCGCTTTTGAAAAGCGCTTTCTTAAGGCACCCTTTGAAAGCGCTCCTTTAAGCGAATTTTTTTTAAAACCTACAGCAGCGCTTTTCTCCAAAAGTGCTTTCTTTTATGTGCTGCTAAAACTTATTTTTGGCATAGTGACTCTAGTATTCAATCATCTTCCACCTTCATATCACAAAAGGCAGACTAGCCAATCTACATCTTCAGGTTTAAGAAGATTAAACAGGGGCAGCTGTTGTACCCCCAAATTTACCCTCTTTATTTGGACCTTTTTGGCTTACATTTCATTGTTACATACATGCATATCATTGGTTTTATAGTTATGGAATCAAGGTATATTTAAAAAAATTCTTCAAGTTACAAGCGACGTTTATTTCGTCAATGGATGTTCTAAGAGTATTTTTAGTGCTGAAGATCGGCTCGCCGTTTCGCAATGATTCAGAGTTCAAAGATTCACAAGTCCAACCCGACGCGTCATATTCAGGTGTTCTTTCGCCAAGATATCTCTGATAACATATTCTCAAATTCAGGTTCGGCTCAAGAGTCAATTCTTTAAAGAAGGTCTCCGAATGTGTGAGTTTTCTCGAAGAAATATGGTGAAAAAGTGTGCTGAAAGTGCAGTTTTTACGCACTAAAAAATTCATAACTTGAAGATCGTGGCTTGTTTTGAACCCATTCCTGTGGCCAAAATTTCGTCTTGACGTCATCTACATTTTCATCTCTCACGGATGGAAGCCAATTTCGATCAGAAGGTCTTCAAAAATGCGGATTTATCAAGTATTTTCGTACAGAAAATTTGTGACAGAAGTTTATTTGTGTCATGTTCAGAAAATCATAACTTGGTCGATTTTCATCGTATCGAGCTGGTTCCAGCGCCAAAATTTCACAAATTGAGTTTACTATGATTTCACAGGAGGTATCGAGTTCGAACGGTATCCAAAAGGCCTTCGTTTTTTGCTCAGAATGTACGTGACGCACCGAAAATCCTGAATGCTAAATATTATTTCATCTGGGTCAAAACTTCGAAAATTCATAACTCGGTCAATTTTTATTGGATTGGGCCCATATTTTTACACAAGGTCACTGACTCAGGGATCTACAACTTTTATTCCAAAGTCGATATCGGGTTATGCTCCGATCAATACCAAATTTTTATTGAAGAACGTGTCAGAGTTGACACTGGAGTCCAAAATAAGTTTGTCTGAGGCGAAACTTCAAAAATTCATAACTAATTCACCATTTATTCAATTGAGCCCATTTCCGGACAGGAGTTAGTTCTCGATGTCGGCTACATTTTGTTTTAATATTTCAACTTCAAAAATTGCACTTAAGCCCATGCGACTTAGCCTGGAATGTGACGGACTCAAGTGAATAAAAATCTACATTATTGCTTGTGGTTATTGGAGGCCCAATTGCACATTCAAAGCTTATTTTTTTCTCTAATTTCTATTATATAATCTCATTCTTTTCACATACGACAGACGAGAAAAAAACCTTTGCCACAACCCTGTCAAAATATCAAATTCCTTTAAAAACCTTAAAATCCTTGTTACAAACCTCCATCTCACTACAAACAATCCATCTTTGTTACAAACCCACATCTCACTACTTCTCCAGTAAGGGTAAGGCTGGTTTGATCTCCATGATCAAAAGGGTGTAGAAGCATTCATACATGCCATATCGGTTTTAACATTAACAAAATTATATATTTGCTTTATTTGTATTTCATGATATAGTAATTTATTTAATGTGTTCATGAGATTCAATACTGCAGATTTAGACAGGGTCCCATGCAGGGTTATAATCTACCCCCGTACTCTGAAACATCTCAAAAAAGGTTTTTTCTGTTCTTTTTCCTTTTCCTGATTAGATAAAATAAAAGTCGGTGGTGACTCTTACTTACCGCGACATTTTACGGAAAAAAACGCAAACCAGTATTAACAGTCGGTTCTGCCACCGTATCACAGTCTCACATGCATAACATGACCATTTTTA